GCTTAAACTGTATTCATTAATCATCATCATCATCAGCAATGCTTTATCCACTGCTGGTAGAAGGCCTCCCCAAGTCGTCGCTACCCCTCATGGTCTTGCGATGCAACGAGAAATTTAGCTCCTGCACATGAGCTGAGCTCATCACTCCATTTACACAGTTGTCATGCTCTCGGGCGTGTTCTCTGCTCGCATTACTATTTATAAAAAATGCAAGACAAAAGACTGAACAGAATAGCCACACGACTGCAACATGAGCTATTTCAGCCAAAAATTATGACCAAGCAATAATCTGTACAGCGTTTCAGCATGTACTCATCTTGCAACGCATGCATGCATTCATCATTATCATTGGCCATGCTCTAACTACTCCTGGATGAAGGGTCTCCACAAGTCACCGCCTTGCTTCATTACATGGTCTCACTATGCAACAATGAATGTATCTTCTATGCATGAGTTGAGCTGATCGCTCCATCTCCACCGCAGTCATTCTCTCGGGCATGTCACCTCCTTGCATTATATAAACATACAAGTAAAAATATAGGAACACTGTGTACTGTAACGTGAGCTATTCAGCCAAAATTAATGACCAGACAATAATCAGTATGCCCTGCCAGCATGCATGAAAAATGTAAAATGGTGCTGTATAAATTAGTGCTGCGCTGGAAATTGTCATCCATCAATGTACTGTTACACGAGAGGAATACAGAAAATGTAGAAGCAAAACAATAATTCATGGAAAATTGTGGGAATTTATGGTACAAAAATACCACAGTTAAGTGCAGGGATTGAATTATAAAACCATTTTGGCTAAGTCTGTCTGCTGTGGCAAGCTTACTTGGACATATTGATTAATGACAATTGTGATGAATTAAAACTGACCAAATCTTTGGGAAATCAGTATGGTGAATTGTAATAGGGTATACAGCAATGCTGTGACGTCTACCAATATTGTTAGTATTTGCACCTGGAAGCATTTGGTTTCTATCATGCAACATTGCATATGTCAATAGTGATAAGACGTAATTAATTAATTTGGTGACTGATGATAATTATGACAATTTCGTCTGGACATGGCAACAACAAATTCAGTGACGTGGAGATGATATCAATAATGAATTAACGTTCACAATTCGTGAAAATTATGTAATTTCATGTTTGTATGTATGTATGTTGAACTTCTTTCGCACCATACGTAGCCAACCATGTTATTCATGACACGAATTGATGTTTACCATTATGGCAAACTATTGATTATTGTGATGATGACAGTAAGTAATGATGATGATCCAACAGTGGAAATAATGACATCAATTATGACAGGAAATAATGATGACCGAATTATACAGATCATGATGACTGTGGGGTCTTGGGAGAGGGAAAACCTCTCAGCCCAGTTAACATTATGGGGTTGATCCTATTTAGACTCCGGAGATGCAATCACTGGAAAAAGTAGCTGTACTGCGTGAGTAGCTGGCTAAAGTGTCATCTACCAAGGATGTGTGGACGGTGATCCAGAACCTGAGACCAGGTAAAGCTCCAGGCACAGATGACCTCCCAAGTGAATTGCTGTGGGAGGATGGAAATTGTGTGTAAGCTGTCTTAAATTACATCATTACAACTCATAATCAACGTTTTTGGGTTTAGATCGCGTTATTTATAAATGTGTCGTAACCCTCCACCACCCGACACGGCCAATCAGTAAAAATGTGTCACGTTGACAAAGACAAATAGTTCACTGCTTTAGCTCACCGGTGTGTTGAAGCCACAACATTTACAATTGTAAATAACGCGATCTAAACCCAAAAACGTTGATTATGAATAACATTGGTCGCGAAAGCCTACGTGTTAAACTGATCATTACAACTGTCTGGATGACAGGATGGGTTCTGCAAGATTCAAAGGATGCCCTCCTGGTCTCCTTTTTAAAAAGGGGGATTATACTGATTATAACAATTACTCGGGCATCTTCTTCTTCAGTGTGCCAGATAAGGTCCTGGCAAGGATTATTCAACATCATTTTGCCAGTGACACTGAGCTCATGTGGTGTTAGGCAGGGGTCGTCCTGTGCAGATATCACATTCGCTGTTTGCTCCAGAAAAAAACAACAGGGAGTTTCAATTTAACTTATAACTCTGCATTTTATTGCATTAATGCCTACGATATCATCAAGAGGTCGGGGCTTTGAGTTGTTCTCCATGTTTTTAGGGTCCCCGACCCTCTACTCACCACCATTAAGGCCCTTAATGGTGGTGGGCAGGTCTGGGTAAATATGCATGGCTCGAAATCAGTCATTCCTGTTCACCTTGGGGTGCAACATTGATGTCCTCTGGCTCCTACATTTTAACATATTTGGACCACATAGTTCGAGAAGCCTTCCATGGCTGTACCAGTGGAATGTTCATCTGGTACTGATCCAAATGAGGCTGATTAAAGCCCAGATGCGGTCAAGGAATGGCTCATAAATAATAATCAACCATGTTACCCGTGATTACGTCTTATTGTGTGTTATGCATGCTTATCACCTGATAACTGCTGATCACACGGATTTGGAGAATCTACTGCGAAACCTGGTGTGTGCCACTAAGAGATGAGATGCCTGACCAACAGCCAAAGCAAAGCATTAGCCTAGATATTTTATGTCATTACATACTCCAGGACAACTCCCCATGAGTGATGGGGTAGTTGTGGAGAAAGTGGAGAAATGTCCTCACCTGGACAGTGTGCTGATGACCACCACCGGTTTGCCAACAGACGTATAATTAAATTTCGATTTACGTATAACTCGTATAATTCTGAATCAGATTAGTGTCATTATATACATTTTATCAGCTGCGGAACGCTGTGTGGAAGCTACCTATCCTATCGGTAGGATCAGTGATGACTGGTACCAGTGGTATCAATATTAGCCTCTGTAGAAGAGGCTAATAATTAGTATGTTATGTGAGTATGAGTGTATGCTATGTATGGGTATATGTTATGTGTGTGCTGTGTGAGTATGAGTGCTTGCTATGTGAGTATGAGTGTATGCTGTTATGTCAGTTTGAGTATATGCTGCTATGGGCATACTAGAGTTAATGACGGGTATTTTCATGTCGTAAAGACGTAAACGATTCAGTGTTTCTTGACTTTGTCGATTACGCCATCTCTGCTGTCTTTCTATGTTTAGTCAACGTCTTATTTCGTCTGCAGACTCTTCAGGATTCATCCGAATGAAACCGAAATTACGGAATGTGATGTACTGAATGTAATTGACTCTTTCTGAGAGTGATGTATTACAAACCTGTAAACGAAGAATTACAATTGTAAATCACCTCTATTGTAGCGTTATAAAAGCTATTTGGGTTACCTTTCTATCAGGAAGTAAACAAAATGTTTCAATCAAAAATTGTTTCTCTAAACTTTTAATTTTCTTCACCTGTGAGGGTGGATAAAATATAAACACTTGGTTCTCTATTTAAGTTTGTTGCAAATGTGCAATTGTTGTAGGAGTGATTTAATTATTATAAGTATTGACTTACTAGATTTTGTATTGATGTGAATGCAAAACTGTAAACCGGAAAGACAGGTCGGTGTTCACTCATTTTCACAAATTTTCGCAAAAAACGTGAGGTCGCTTTTACCAAAATGTATTTGAACTCATACTCTTAGGATTTTTTTCGGTAAAGTCACGTAGGTAAAAATAAATATAATAATAAATGAAAATAAATCAATTCACGACGTTTTGGAGGCAACACAAGCTTCATTCATCAGGTGTATGAGTGTGCTATGTGTGCTGTGTATGTGTGCTATGCATGCGCTATGTATGCGTGTGCTATGTGTGCTGTGTATGTGTGCTGTGTATGTGTGCTGTGTATGCGTGCTATGTATGTATGAGTGTGCTGTGTATGTGTGCTATGTATGTGCTATGTATGACTGTGCTATGTATGTGCTGTGTATGTATGTGCTATGTATGTGCTATGTATGTGCTGTGTATGTGTGCTATGTATGTGTGCTATGTATGTATGTGCTATGTGTGTATGCGTGCTATGTATGTGTGCTATGTATGTGCTATGCATGTATGTGCTATGTATGAGTGTGCTATGTATGAGTGTGCTATGTATGAGTGTGCTATGTATGAGTGTGCTATGTATGAGTGTGCTATGTATGAGTGTGCTATGTATGTGTGTGCTATGAGTGTGCTATGTATGAGTGTGCTATGTATGAGTGTGCTATGTATGTGTGTGCTATATGTGCTGTGTATGTGTTCTGTATGTGTGCTGTGTATGTGTTGTGTATGTATGCTATGTATGAGTGTGCTATGTATGTGTGCTGTGTATGTGTCGTGTATGTATGCGATGTATGAGTGTGCTATGTATGAGTGTGCTATGTATGAGTGTGCTATGTATGTGTGTGCTATGTATGAGTGTGCTATGTATGAGTGTGCTATGTATGTGTGTGCTATGAGTGTGCTATGTATGAGTGTGCTGTGTATGAGTGTGCTATGTATGTGTGTGCTATATGTGCTGTGTATGTGTTCTGTATGTGTGCTGTGTATGTGTTGTGTATGTATGCTATGTATGAGTGTGCTATGTATGTGTGCTGTGTATGTGTCGTGTATGTATGCGATGTATGAGTGTGCTATGTATGAGTGTGCTATGTATGAGTGTGCTATGTATGAGCGTGCTATGTGTGTGCGTGCTATGTGTGAGCGTGCTATGTGTGAGCGTGCTATGTATGAGCGTGCTATGTGTGTGCGTGCTATGTGTGAGCGTGCTATGTGTGAGCGTGCTATGTGTGAGCGTGCTATGTGTGAGCGTGCTATGTGTGAGCGTGCTATGTGTGAGCGTGCTATGTGTGAGCGTGCTATGTATGAACGTGCTATGTGTGCTGTGAGTGTGCTGTGAGTGTGCTATGAGGGTGCTGTGTCTACGCGTCCGCCACGTGCGCGTGGTGGTGGCGGTTGCTGCTTCGCCTGCCGCTGCTCGCGCGTCACGACCCAATCACTTCCGGGTTCTGGGCGCCCTCCACCACCGCCTCCTCCTCCTGCTGCCGCCTCCTGCCGCCCTCCTCTCCGCCGTCTCTCTACTCGACCCCCTCTCAACTTGTACACTTCTACAGGCGAGGAAGAACAACAACAACAGTAACGATACACGAAGGAGAGCGACAACGAGCCGAGGAGGAGGAGGAGGGAGAGGGGATAGAGGCGAGAGGGCGAGAGGACAGCCCCCCCACCCCTTAGGCCTGCGCCGTTCGCACAACGCCGAACAACCACAACACAGCACGCACGTGTTTGCTTAAGCCGCCTCGCCTCGCGTAGCATTCACAGAAACACACACAGCACACATCACAGGCGTGTTCAAGGAAGCTTTGGTAATCGCAAGCAGCAGCAGCAGCAGAAGAAGAGGCGAGAGATGGCTGTTGTGCAAGACGCGGCGGGACCTCCCCTTGACAGGTAGTTGTGTGACGTGAGATGTTCATGGCAGAGGGCCCCATGTGTTGCTGTGTGTGTGTGTGTCTGTGTGTTACAATAGACAGCACAGCTGGGCACAGCTTGTGTTTGCAGGACAGTAGCAGCTGGATATAAGCACACCCTGGGTTTTGGGAGCGAGGCAGGGCCCTGCTTCGTGTCGGAAGTTGCCTTTTTTTGCCTTCCCCGCCACCGCTTTAATTGTGCCGACGTCGTCACGAACACACAGAGAAGCTTGTGCTGTATTCGGCGTTGTTTATTAGGATTATAAGATCACCGTGTATAGCGCGAACAGTTCAAACGACGTTGCGGGGTGAGTAAACTGTGCGTGCTAATTGCCCCATGGTAAGTTTATCGCCCTATGAAGAAGTGTTGTGGGTCGTGGCGAGGTTGTTTGTGACACACAGACACACACAACAATAACAACAACGACGAGTCAAGGATGCAACGAGACGTCGTGGTCTGCGACACGTGCGTGTGGCATTGTGCACGCGGTCATGATGTCATTGCACACACAGCGAGCAGCGCCACGTGCTTGTGGACATGGCTTACCATCGCCTACACACACGTGTGTGTGTTACTCTACACATATACTCTTGTAAACACAAGATACCGATGCCTTAATGCGGAATACAACGTCGCGTGGTGTAGTGATGATCCGTAAAGTGTACACGTGACATGTGACAGCTCCGTTGTTGTGGCAATAACACTCACACCGTGTACGGATACTGCATTAGAGCATTACACATTGCTGCTTTCGGGAATAGAGTTTACACCTTTGTACACACACTGGCATTGCAATGACATGTAATATCATGTACATCTTCTTGGTTATTTCGGTAAAGTCACGTAGAAGGGAAATAATAAAATAATAAAAATTAAACATGTTATTATGTTTTATTTTTATAATTTTATTATTTCCCTTCTACGTGACTTTACCGAAAGAACCAAGAAGATGAATCCCTGCAGTCACGAAAGCTTTAAATCGAAATCTCATGTACACTCTACATGTGCATCATCAGATATTATTGAATCCACTGCTGGATAAAGGGCTCCCTAAGCCATACATAATAAGTTATATCCATACCTGTCAGCCCCCTATCAGTGCCCTAACTTATTACAGACCAATTCAGACCTTACTGGTCACCCCGTGCCCTTATAAATCTCAACGTTCATCCTACAAAGTCCCATCACAAGGGAGAAACACAAATAAATGTACTAATATATATTTTTTAGCCCGTATTCAAACGGATGTACGCCGTATGGACCTGAAAACTACATTTTCCTGTACAAGAATACGGGTAAACATGTGGGTTGACAGCTATGGATATCACTCCAGTGAATGGGATTGTATACTCCATCAAAGCATTGCATTCGACTGCACTCTGGTATTTTTTACACTAAAATCCTAACAGTTGTACAATGTTAGTTTATGCAAAGTAGCACTGCAAGGTATTGTACTGCAGTCTGGTATGTACGACTGGTACATTTCAGTGCAACAGTATGTAACGCTGTGAAGCCTTTGCAACATTCTTAAAATACTGTGTATACCATAATTTAGTTGCGAAATACTGTAAACAATACCATATACCGCCGTGGTATTCTTTCTGTATAATATATCTCACGCGTCCATATAATATGTAATACACAAAGCCGTAAATAAATACATGACGAAATTCTATCATATTCTTTGGGTCTTTCGGTAAAGTCACGTAGATAGAAAGAAAAATACAAATATCACGACGTTTCGATCGCAACGCAAGCAATCGTCATCAGGCGCAATACGATTGCTTGGATTGCGATCGAAACGGTCTGATTTTAATTTCTACGTGGCTTTACCGAAAGACCCAAAGAATATGAATTCCTGCAGTCACGAAAGCTTTAAGTCAAGAAATTAGATTGCATGTACAACATGGTATATTTAAATCAAACTGCATATAATGATCCTGTTAATGTCAAATGACACAGTATGTGTACTATGTGTACCATACATCACAAAATAGTACGTACACTACCATGATATCCATTGCACTAAAGTACAATGCATGCAATGCATTGAGGTTTGTATGAGCTGTCCAAGTGCTGAAGGTCTGAAGTGTGCTTTTATCCATCATATAAGAAGACCTCTAATTACAATGTGCAGTACAAAACTCTCCATGCAGCATTGATTTACTCATGCATTGTGGGTTGTTAAAGTACTCTACTTGTGTAATTTCCACGTGGTGTATTTGTTTAATGCAAATGCTTCGTTCACGTGTTGTATTTGTTTAATGCAAATGCTTCGTTCACTACAGCACTGGCAGAACGTGTGTATGCAGAGGTATGCCCTTACAGTTAAAACGCCTGCTATCCTACCCAATGTGTCAAAAAAAAAGAAAGTATGTTTATATACAGGGTATACTAAACTCCTGCGGCATGGGTCAGAAACGTGGTCACAAACAAAAAACGGAATAAAACCTGAAAAATGCACAAGTGTGGTGAGACGCTTGCTTGGCATTGCATTGAGAGATAAAAAGAGGACACATGTTTTAGATAACATCGTTATGTGTGTTATATTCACTGTTTAGAATGTTAAGTGGGCTGGAGCTGAAACAGCTCGAAAGTTTGGAGAATGGTGGATGGTCAAGACTAACGTCAGATTGGTAGCCAAAGGAGGGAACGCACCCAATCCTGCATAATGCACATGCATATGCAGTACTAATCACATTCCTGCATTTCCCATAAATATTCTAAATTCCTTTTGATATGCAAATTCCTTTGTCAATGCGCCCAGCTTATATATATGCTCCAAGCTCGTGTGCTGTTTCATTCAGACTGTCGCCTCGACGGACCTGGTTTTCACCTGAGGACGGCTGCTTGCGTTGTGGCCGAAACGTCGTCAGAATTGTTTTATTATGTTTTATTTTTATTATTTTATTACTTCCCTTCTACGTGACTTTACCGAAAGAACCAAGAAGACACTCCAGAGATCTCATGGTCCTGCTGAATCTCAGAACCATGAAAGATGGCGACGGCTTTAGGAGGCCTTCATCCAGCAGTGGATGCCATGATCATGCTCTTGAAGAGCCCTGCTATGTCCTGGCCACTGTGTAGATATGTAATTTATTGTACAGGTAGTCCCCGAGTTACGATGATCCGACTTACGATATTTCGATCTTACGATGGCGATAGCGATACTACAAAATTGTAAAATATTTTAAATTTCGCGCGGCAGGCAAACGCAGCAGCGTACGAGGTCCGATACGTTCAATGCATGTTAAAAGTTTTTATAGCAGATAGGATTGTTACCTATTAAATTGCAGTTCATATAGGTAGGCTAATAATTTACCTTGTTTTATTACTTTACATTTTGCAGTGCAATACAGTATTGTAATTAATAAATACATACAGTATATAGTTTATACAATACGGGACTGTAAATTGCTCTGTTTTACTAAATTATCACCGTTCTTTAAGACTCCTGGGTAGGCTAGGCAATCTTCGACTTACGATATTTGTGACTTACGATGGGGTCGTCGTAACGCATCTCCATCGTAAGTAGAGGACTACCTGTATATTGTATATCCATGCCTGCATAAAGCTTCATTAACCATCTTCTTGGTTCTTTATTATGTTTTATTTTATTATTTTATTATTTCCCTTCTTCGTGACTTTACCGAAAGAACCAAGAAGATGAATCCCTGCAGTCACGAAAGCTTTAAATCGAAATTTCATTAACAATGTTTTTGATTTGTTTACAATTCATCTGTGTTCTGCATTCTAACATAACATCAGTTTGGAACGAATTGTCACGATTCAGAGTACTAGAATACGTTTATAGTTTTGTTATTTAAAACATTGTGGCAATTTACGTGAACCCAATCATCGTCAGCCACTGGCTATCCACTGCTCGATGAAGGACACAATCGCGCTCTTTCCATCCCTCATGGTCTGGTGATTCCACAATCCATCTCACTGCTGGGCATGAACTCATCCGATTGCACCATTGATGTGGTGGTTGCCCTCTCATGCGTGCTCTGTCCTTTGGTTGCCATTCCATCACATCTTGTCAATCGGCCATCGTCCCTCCGAGCAATGTTTTCGGTCCAAACCCACTTACTTTCCGTAACAATCAATAAGATGTTTGTGATTTTGGATTCGTTTCCAGATCTGTGTGTTCCTCTTTCTGTGCCTCGGTTGTACTCGAGCACACACGCCTCCACGTCTCTTTGTACACTTTTCAGTTTCTGTTCCGTTTTTTTTGCCATTGTAAAGTTCATGATCCATACGTCACATTGGTTAATATGCACCGATTGATAACGTTCTTCTTTAGACAGATTGGAATTTGTGCTGCTCGATTAAGCTGCCTTCCAACCATATGCTCTTATTTACCTATTTAATCATTGTATCCCGATGTGCTTCAATAACTACCCGAGGAATACATACTCTCACGTGGGTTTTCATATATTACAAACATCTAAGACTCAATATTTTATACAGTACGCAATGCATATCTCATGAGCTTTAGACTTTGCATTAAAATTTAAGTTGATGAATGTTTTCACCCGAAACGTCTTGCGGTTAGAGAGAATGCGCCACTGTGCATCTTGTTAAGAGAGGGTGCACAGTGCCTGTGAGTGTTTACTGATGGCATTATAAAGAGCACTGCCTCCAGTCCTCTTCCATGTGATTGGGATGCACTAGTGGGATCCTCGGATTACTCACTGATCCTGATATTTACCATGGGACTGAATGGGGAAAGGTAAGTGAACATTTCGATTGGCAGGCCATACTCAATACCCACACAAGACAGAACTCTTGAGAGAGATCTTGTTGAGAATTTACTGTAATGCATTTTGAATGCACAGATATGTCCGTTGTTTAATGTTCAGTCCTTTGTCAATCCACTGCTGGATAAATGCTTCCCCACACCGGTGTTGGTCGCGGTTTTATTTGTTATCATACTTCACGACGCACGTCGGCGCAGATTGATGAAGTGGGACCCA